CAATCTTTTTTCTTGAGCCTCTGTACCCAATGCTGCCTAAAAATCTGGACCGTACCTACAGGAATTCAGTTTTTGGAGCGTTGTGCAAAACTATATGTTATTACTTGTGCATTAAACTCCTTCAAATATAACACTTTTAATGCTTTTTAAGTTAAAACGGAATACGAGCTGTTTACTGAAATTTAGCATCTTTCATCTGATTTCGAAATTTTCTTTTTTTTTCACTAAATTTTGTCACACTACGTATGTTTTTTCAGTTTAGTTTCTGCGTAGTACAAGGATATTTTGTCGTTTTTGCAAGTTTTTTGATTGAGATTTATTCGTTTAGCGTTTACTTGGTATTGAAAAGCGTTTGGTGGAGCGGCTGGATATGTTGTCAAAGAATCTGGAAAATGAATTTGCGCAAAAAATTACGTATACTTCACAGGAAGCCGGCACTGGGCATTCGGCTCTGTCTGCTGTTAGATTTTATTACATTTTTTATTTGTAGCTTTTGTCTTACATTTTTTCATATTCGTTGATTTCCATTTTATTTCTTTTTTTTTTTTTACTTTCCTCTTCTTTCTGCTTGGCTCTTTTGCACTTTCTTTTCTTATGATTCGATAATATCATACTGCATCCTTCGTGCTAATGTGTCCAGCTGTGGTGCCGGATGGAAATTTATACTGTTTAATGGGCTGAAATATTCTTGTTTAGATTTTTTGCTTTCTTATCTTTCACTGTCAATCCATTTTCCTGTCTTTCATTATCAGCATCCTTATCTTAAGATTTCCAGTAACGTTTTTCACGCTTAAGTGATTCTCTGAAATGTGTTTCTCCCAGATATATTGTCTACGTTTACTGTTGTTTGTATATTTCAGGAACTGTCGGAACTTTCATCAGCAGTTTCAAATCTCCGCAATGAATTTGATAAGGTATGTACTTTTGATTTTGCATTTTTGCTTTATTTGCTCTTTTTCCTCCTCGATGCCTTTTTCATTGAATTACCGGGTGCAGCAACCTTTTTTCACGGGTCAACGTGTATTCTTAGCCAGCAGCACTGCTATGATCATTTTCTCTGTTAAAAAATGGCACTAAGGAGATGTTCCTTTCTATTTTTCAGCCAAATCCATCTTCTTCTTTTCCTAAAATATTGCAATCATTGTTTTTTGAATTTTTCCAGTTACGACGAGAGAAGGAGGCCAAAATCGCGGAATTTGCTCATGCAATAATGTCACGTGACTCTAAGCAGGGCGATGATTTGAATTTGCTCAAAATCGAATTGAAAAATAAGATAAAGGATGA